TGTTAAGCAAAACATTGGAGAAGGTGGACTAGATGAAGGAGAATGTGGCATCAGGACTGGAGAAGACTCAATAAGCTATGTTATTCAGGGTCAGTCCTTAGAAGACATCAAGATAGAAAAGTGGCAGGTTAGGAAGAAAGGACTGACACAGTGTCTGTGACAATGGACTTGAGCATACTAAATATTGTGAGGATGGTGCAGACAGGACAAGGTTCAGATCTACTATTCATAGTCATTATGAGTTGTAGTTGACTTGAAGGCACCAAAAAACAATTATCTGTAAGTTGTGTATAATCAATGCAAGGAATTACACAACACAACAGGGAAATAAGAAATGTCTCAAAGAAGAGTAGCTTTTTTTTTAATTATTAGTAAGGCTACAGAGTAGAAGTAGGTCTGGTTTCCAACCTCACAGAATTTGTTTCAGGTGGTTAATACTATTAATTCTTTTAAACCCTTTATGTAACATTAAAAGCACTTACATGTCTCTGCCATGCCATTTTTACACATGTATAACAGACTGTCTTCCATATTCTATAAACTCTGAGGTAAAAGGAATGCTCTTAGTCTGACTTCTAACTGTGTATAGACTAGAGATACTAAAAGAACATAACATTTGAGTTATTTTGTATTTAAGACATAATAGGTGTTCAAGAAAATAACTTAGTGCACTACAATAAATTCTACAATTAGAAAGTGAAAGCCACAATCAAAGCCATTTCACTCTACCTCGCTGACTTCTTTCCCACTGTCAACATCTTACTCAAGCACCCATTTCTCTACACCTGAAACACCGAAACGGTTTGCCACCAATCCATTTTGTGCAGTTATTGCCATTAAATACTAGAATAACAAAACATCCATAATTTATCCTCTCCCCCTAAAAAACCCAATCAACCTTCATTATGAACACACTACTTCCTAAAAGTTTCACCCTGTTATCCTGTGGTTATATGTTGTTAAATCAGAAGTGACACACTAGCGGGTTTTGAGAGACTGTAAGTTGCCCAGGAGGAGACTGCCTATCTTTCTCCCACTGAGAAGCTGGTGGATTCGAACCAAGTACCTTTGAATTGACAACTGAATTCCACTAGGAAACAGAGTTCTCTCCTGTCACCAAAGCACATCACAATTTCTCCCCAATCTACCTGCCACTACTTCCTCTATTGTATGGCTCATTACTCATTACTGTACAATTGGAACCTTTAGGCAACTTGGCATTCTCCAAATACATCTCTTTTTTTTTTCTTTTTGTTTTTGTTTTCTGCTCTATTTTCTCAGGTCTCCACTTTGACCACCTGAGTTTGTCACAATTTCACCTAATCATTAAAAGCCACATTAAATTACTCCCTCATTGACTCCTTTGCTGTCTTCATTGGGTTCTTTCCTTCTGCTGAAAGCCCTAAAATAGTGTCTAACAAATGGAAACCACACACTATGCACTATTTATTACTTTTTATTTTTAAGGCAACTTTATTATTTGTGAGACCCTTGAAAAAGATAAAAGTCTGTGGATTCTCTGTGAGTGTCCTGGACAGAAAGACGTACAGAACTCAATACACTCAGTAAGTATTACGAGAGACCCTGAGGTCTACAAACTTCACGGGTTCCTTAAACCAGGATCCTATAAAGATGAGTCGAAAGCTCTCTATTTGTGTTTATAAAGTCCTAGATACCTCCATTAACTTCCAGAGCAGGCTCCAACTTCACAAATTGAATCCTGATCCACTTTTACACTCAAAATTCTTTTGTGCGAGAAACAACACTGCTAGGATGCAGGGACCTGAAATCTGATGTCAAGATTCGAGAAAAGTCAAGTTGACTAGAAAACAAAACATAAGCTCGGAGAAGTGGCACAGGAGCTAAAGCAAAGCCACGCAAAGGAAGTTATCAGTTGCCATAGGGTTTGTAGTCCAGAGCGGTCCTCAGCCCCATACCTACCTTCCTCCTCTGCAGTTGCTGTTGCAGGACAAGTAGTCTTAGTCTCTCCCGGGCTCGCGGCCATGGCTTCGATAAGGGGAGGATCCGCAAGAGGAGAACCGAGCAGAAGTGGAAACCCAGGAACAACTAAACCTGGACTCCTCAGCAGAACAGGAAGCACTCCTGACAGTCACTAGGCTCCCCCCCGGAAGCGCCCGCCCACCTGGAGTCACGTGACGCTCACAGGGCGGTGCCAAGCCAGTTTGTTTTTCACTGCTGGTTGCGAACACGTGTACTTTGTTGTGACGCTCCCTCCCATCCCCACCTGAGTTGTGTTTTGTTTTTCAAATGTTCATCCCTCTTGAATGCGTTTCTGCTTCTCCACCCAGGGCCTGTTCTCTTCGCGACAATATTAGTGCCAAGATGGAAGGGAAGCGGGACAGTTTGCAATTTTGTAGTGCTCAAAACGGTGGTTTGTGTCTGCATTTGATTACCCTGCAGTGATTTTCACCAATGCAGGATACTTTGATAGCTCACGCTTCTCTTGCTTCTCGTCCACCGGTCTTAGCTTCCAGGTAATAGAAACCCCAGGCAAAATGTCTTAATTGAATTCTCAGTGACTCATTTCCTGACAAGCCAAATAACTGAATGGTTTTCAAGGGCACTAATTGCCAAAATGGGTCGATTCCGTTTCGAAGGTAAACAATAACAAATGCCAAAATGACAAAAATATCTTGGAAAAAGTGCAAGCAAGGTAGGTGCTCCTTGGAGACACGGATAGTGAACCTCTCCTCACCTACTTTGGGCATGTTGTTAGGAGGGATCAGTCCTTGGAAAAGGACATCATGCTTGAAAAGGTGGGGGTTCAGCGAAGCAAGAGAAGACCCTCAATGAGATGATTGACTCCATGGCTGTAACCGTGTGTTCACGTGTGTCAGAAATGATCAGGAAGGCACAGGGCAGGGCAAAGTTCAGATCCATTGTTCATAGAGTCACTATGAGTGCTAGTCAACTCTATAGCACTTAAAATAGCAATAGATTACTCTTGGGAAGGTAGAGGGTCAAAGAGAGAAACACCCTTAACAGAATGGATTGACATAGTAAGAATGAACTTGAGCATATTGTAGATCACAAGGTTGGTACAGGATAGGTCAGGGAGCCAATCTGTTGTACATATGGTTGTCATGAGTCCTAGTTCATTGCATGACATCTGACAGCCAAGAAGCAGCAGTTGCCAGGCTCTGGATTTGCTTATCAAAATAAACAAATGGGCTGGTTGATCAGGAAATCAATGCTCTGCCTTTCCTCTTTGTGTCATCCAACTCATAATAATTGAACTTAAATGTAGTTCCCTAGTTCCCTTTCAGTAGAAATCCCCCAGCATTTGATCAATACAACACATTCTTATTGCTTGCCTGTTTCATGACAGTCATAATGAGTTGTTGTTATGTGCCATCGAATCGCTTGAGACTCGTAGCAATAGCCCTAAACTCTGCTCTGTCCTGTGCCAGTCACACTGTCTCTGACACACCCATCCCGATTACCCCAGTCACTGAATCAATCCACCTCATAGAGGGCCTTCCACTCCTGCACTGTCCCTCTACCCTACCGAGCATGATGTCCCTCTCCAAGGACCGGTCCCTCCTTAACAACATGTCCAAAATATGTTAGACGGAACCTCAGAATCCTTGCCTCCAAGGAGCCACCCGGTTTAACCCTCTCCAGGATGAATCTGTTTTCCTAGCAGTCCATGGTGCATTCAATACTCTTCTCCAGCACCACAGCTTAAAGGCATCAGTTCTCCTTCTATCCTCCTTAGTCATTGTCCAACTCTCTGATGCATAACAAGTGATAGCAAAGGCCATGGCCTGTATCAGACACACCTTAGTCTCCAGAGTGACACCATTGCTCTTCAGTACTTTGGAGAAGTCCCTAACCGCAGACTTTCCCATGGCAATACGTCTTTTCATTTCCTGGCTGCTGGTGCCAAAAGTGTTGACTGTGGAGCCAAGCAGACTAAAGCTGTGAACAATCTCAATCTCTTCAACTGATGCTGCCAATTGGTCCAGTGGTGAGAATCTTTGTCTTCTTGACATTGAGCCTCAATCCATATTGGAGGCTATAGTTCTTGACCCTCTGCAGCAAGTGCATGAGTTCCTCCTCAATTTCGGCAAGCAGGGTTGTGTCATCTGCATAAGGCAGATTGTTGATAATGAGTACAATGTAAAATACACACACATACACATGCATGGTGTTCTGTGCCATCCAGTCAGAATCAGCTGAGCCTTGATCCTTCAGTGGGTTTTCAGAGGCTTTGAATTGCACAGGAAGAGATTGCCCATCTTTCTCTCCTAAGCAGCTGGTACTTTCAAATCACCTGCCTTTGGGTTGGCAGCACAACTATCTACCCATAAGGTCACCAGATCCCATGTATAAATACATATATACACATATGTATGCATATATATTTATATATACACAATACATACGTATGTATTAATTTATAATCTCATGTATGTAAGATAAAAAGATAACTGATGAAATCATACAGTATTCTACATTAAAAAGTATGTATTCTTTTCATGTGATGGCCTGGGTTCTCACTACACTTTAATATTGACTGGTACCCTCCTCTAATGTCTGAGGTTAGAACCCCAACAAAAATAATAACAAACCCCATATACAAACACACATTAGGTTTAATGACCAGAGGTCACCGACTTGTTTATTAGTCACATGATGTACACTTGGGCCACTTCCTCGAGAGACCAACCCAGAGATTGATT